CTTATGACAGACAAGTTACATTTGCAAACTTACAAGCTTATATTAACTAATATTACCTATTTAGGCAAAACACCAAATGCCTCCAAGAAGCACACATTATTGCTTATTAATCCCTCTGGTTCTGGCTGTCACAATAGCACATTGTCTCGGGGATAGCGAGAGGAGGGGCCAGGAAGCCCCACTTGTGGGACCTGACGTGGGGAAAAATAGTGAAATAAAGAAAGAAATACAAAACAGTTACTTACCTGCAGGAGAAGCGGCGCTAGCAGATCCAAAAGAGAAGCCCCCGCGGTTTACAAGCCGTGCGTTTATTCAATTAAGGCCAGTGGGTGACGTCACAAGGACGCACTGGCTGGCAGGAATAAAAATGGCTGCTGGCAGTAGGGAGGGGAGAGCCAGTGAGGAGGCGGAGGCTCTCTGTGCCGGTAGTAGCTGGGACCAGCGCAAATTGGAAATGCCCGAGCAACGGGCAGCGAGAGGAGCACCGAGAGCTCCTCACACTGGGGGCACTAAGATCGAGCCCCAGGAGGGGTGGAATGTGGGGAGGGACTTCCCTCTTGTGCTGCCAAGGAGGTGCACTGAGGGAAGCGAGGAGCAGCGGCGCAACCAGGATGACGAACCCAAGGGAGAGGCTGAAGCCAACCTTGGAGAAGCAAGGGTGTCTCCGCGTTACCGCTCCCAAGTACTAGGTTGGGGAGCTGGGCTAGGGGTGGAGAAGAGAGGGGATCCCTGTGGGACCAGCGTCAGGGGAGCACTGCCAAGTTCAGGCAGGAAGGCTGAGAAGGCCAACCGGTAGGACACCAGTTAGGAAGACCTTCCGGTCCCTTCTTTTGGTTTTTTTTTTCATTTTATTCCTTTACCCCTGCTCGACAGGGGCGCCCTCGGACCCCAGGAGGAGAGCTGACTGGCTCAAGGGGATCGCAGGCCTAGAGTCCGGGCCAGCTAATTATCCTTCCCCAAGGATAGAGGAGGATACGATCGGGCACGAGGAATATCTGGACTGGAGAGGCTGCCATGTCAAGATCTGGCACCCCACCAGAGCTTGGCGTAAGGCTGGGGTGTAGGGGAGGTGGAGTCCCACAAACATCTCGCAAGTGTCGTGGTCATCCCTGAGGAGAACTTCGAGGCTGAACCCCGCACTGATATAATATTCAAAGACGTGGCAGGCAAGTTCGGGGAAGGTCAGAGGAACCCCACCTCGGGAATCCCACAACGTTAGAGAGCATACACCCTCTACTGCCCGGACCAAGGCGGCACACAAACAGGCATTTGAAGCCAGATGGGCGCGCACACAAATATATTGATCCAAACAAAAATGAATTGAAGGACCTGATTTATAGAACTAAAAATGAAAATAAAATAATTTATTTTACTCTAATATTTTGTTTGTTTTTACTATAAAAGAATATGTTTTTCTTATTATAAAAAAATTAATTTCTATTGGACTAATTAAATGTGTATTAAATAACTTGAGATTTTTAACACAAGATTTATAATCTTAAATGTTCTTCATGCCTCCATCTTATACATGTGTTTAGATTCCGGATCAACTTAGGAAGAAACCCAGCTTCAAACAGAAGAAATGTCCCCTCAAAGTCAATGTCTTCTCAAAGACAACCCTGAAAAAGCAGAAAAGGGCCAAGTCATTTTCTGTTAATACTGTATCCAGTCTTAGTTTTTGTTATGAGAGGTGAAATGGCTTTAGAATAATTAGTCACATAAACTGTATATAATAGAAACATTTAACATATATAATAAAGCCTAGATTTCATGCCTATGCAAACATGTGGGCAGGCACAATAGTCCTTTTAATTTTTAATGTACCTTTGTAGGGAACAACCAAAGTCGACATGTTAAAGCTTTGTTTGGAGAGACTCTAGTATGACAAAATAATTAACCACCGAAGAAAATAATGGAAGGGGTGCATAGGTGGATTTAGATTTTGAAAAGCGGGGAGTGCACCTGGTGAGGTACATAATTACATATAACACAACACATGTTCCAGGCAGGTAAAAAGAAACTAGAAGCTTTACTAATATGCTAGGGGCCTAGGGCTGTATTAACTGATGCAAAAACAAATATAACTTTATTGGAATGAGTTAAAAACAGTCTGCAAGGCTAAGAAATAAGAACAGCATTACCAGGAGCAATTAACAGATTGCAGAATTTCAGAAGCAAGTCCAGGTTGATTAGTGGAACATCAAAACTGTTAAAAAAGAGAGAGGATCACTAACACATGTGGAATGAAGAGTTTAGGAGGAGTCAGGTAGATTTTAGTGAGCCATGGAGTCAATTAACCCCCTCACTGCTGCCTGCATAGAGATGCAGCGGCAACTGCCAGGTAGTTGGTTTTAGACATTGAGTGGACACAAAATCAAAGGCGGGGCAGGGGGTGCAACTGCACCAGTGCACCCCCCCACCCCACCAAATCTGCCCCTGAAGGGGTGACACTAAGCTATCGAGTATTTTAAAGCATTACTTAGTGCATCTAACTTAACCAAAAGAAACTAAAACTAACCTCTAGCTGATCTAAACTGTTGTTACATACATCTAAATGTTATCTCCCATTATTTCTTTAAAACAGATTCTGAACCAACAGAAGTGCCACAAGAATTATATCAGAAGAAAATTCAGTTCTTTGAGGATGAATTGTTTCGACTTACACAGACAGTGCTTGATCTTCAGTCCTCTGTAGCAGGTGTGAATGAAAACTTAAAACTTACTGTCCAAGAAGATGCCAGTAAAATGTTGGTTTCCTGGCTGAACAACCTTTATGACCACCCAGGGCCCGATAGTGCCATTGGTGGTGAAACAGACACTATTCATCTACCTGGAATTATGAGCAATAAAGACCAGAAAGAACATTTTACTGTGCTGAGAATGGAAGATATAAAGTTTGAGCTAGATGAGGTCAAAGAAGCCTTGAAGGTCAAAAACCGTCAGTTGGAGGAGCTGAATGGAAAAGTGAAGGGCTATGAAGGACAACTAAAACAACTGCAGGAGGCAGCACAAGGACCAACAATAATGATGCCTAGTGGTGATTTATATCAGGAATATATTGACTCAAAATTTGAGGCCTTGAGACAGGAAATGTTGGAAGGATTAGAGACAAAAATGGCAGATCTGAAGAGCTCCTGTGAATACAAACTATCGGGTATCCAACAACAATGTGATGACCATGAAGCCAGTTATGCAGGAATGATTGAACTTATAGAAGAAAAGGAAAATGATCTGAAGAGAGAAGTGAATGATCTCCGAATTCAGATCCAAACTCCGTCAAACCAGGCAAACTGTTGCAAGGATGGCAAAAGTGGTGACTTCAGTCAACAGATAAAAAATTTGGATGAGAAAGTGGATAGAATCATGGAAGCATACAATGTCTTAAATGCCAGAATAGATAATGAAATCAGCCAAATTTCTACTCCACATCTAGAAGACATCTTTGGTGCAAGGTGGGAAGAGCTAGATGCTAGGATCAATGTTACTGAGAAGAATGCCGAAGAGCATTGTTTTTACATCGAGGAAACTCTTCGAGGTATTATAGCTTCTGAAGTAGATGAAGTGAGAGACTTACTTGACCAAAAGCTACAGGCACTAGAAGAGAGACTGGGTGGAACTATTTTGGAGATTGCCAATGCCACAGACTCTGAGGGAATAGATAGTAGTCCTAAATTAGTCTTGCACAATGATTCAGGACTTGGAAATGAACTATTTACAGCTGAGATTAATCTTCTTAGGAACAAACTACAAGCTGTTGAAAATCTTTGCTGGCAGAAATGTAACTCCGCACCCCGAAGTATAGAAGATCTTCAGAAAGACATAGAAAGTTGTAACAAGAAATATGAAGTCTTGCTTTTGAAAACAGAAGGTAATTCTGCTTTTCTGAAGTCTTTAAATGGCTCTCTTAATGAAAAGTTTAACTTCATTAAGGGCAACCAACGTGACGTCCAAAAATTGCAGAAAGATTTACGTGTACTTCGTTTTGGTTTAAGTATGATGGATAAAGATGTGAAAAATCTTCAAGATGGCTTGAGCAGCTGTAAGGAGCAACTTCTGGGTGTCAATTCTACATGTAAAAAAGCACAGCGTGGTGCATTCAGAAAAATAGATGAAATACAGAGGACGGTTGCCAACCACACCTCTCATCCAAATGATAATTGTTGTAATGAAATAAGAGAAAGGATAGAAAAGCTAAATGAACAAGTTTTTAATGACCTCAATAAATGTAAAGAAAGGACCTCTGGTATCCAGCAAGGAGTCTCAGATGTTGATAGCAGAGTGTCCCATGTTGAAAAAGTTTGCAGCAAATTGGAGCTTATCTCTGGTAATCTACAGAGGATAAAAGAAGCTCTGAATAAGCATGTCACCAGGTTATGGAACTGCATTAATCAGATGAATGGAACTATAGCATCTAATTCCAAAGATATTTCAGGTCTCAAAAACTCTTTCCAACAATATCATACTGAGATCTCCAAAATTACCACTGACCTTCAGGATTTGATGGAAACTCAATCTGCCACATGTGAGTTTACTGTTTTTCTCTACTGACATTCTCACTGAAACAGCTGGTGGGGAGGTGATGGCTGTTTAATTGCTGATCCCCTGCTGCCAAATTCCTGGGCATGTGAGGAGCCCCATGTCCCAGATACCATGGCCCTGCACACTAGATTGGGTGTGCAGGGTAGCACAGGGCCCAATGCTAGCATATGAGGCTGGGCTGAGGCACTGTGGAACTAACTGAGACACACAGGGCTGGCCGGGGTAAGGGTGGCACAGAGGCCTGATCGGGACACACAGGGCTGGGTGGAGGCAATATGGTGTACGAGCCTGATCTGGCCCACACACTGACCCTGCACCATTCATCTAGCTGATGGGGCCAGAAGATTGAGGGCCACTGCTGTAATATAACACTCATCCTTTGACTTACATGAAGCTGTATTGTTTTACACCAACTGAGAGTCTGGCCCAAGATCTGAAGAATGTGTAGTTTTAAAAATAGCCAGATTTGCTTAGGGATACCAAGTTCCAGCTTTTTGTGACTATGACTAAAAACAAAGGAAGTTGAAGAGATTATGAAATCTGTACTTTTCCACTTGTTACACAACAAAGAACATATCTTATTTTTATGCATATGAGAGAGAAATATGACATTAAAAACTTAGACTATGCTATAGATTTAAACCAAGGAAAACAAACTTTGTCAAAGAAACACTCATTAGGATTTTCTACTCTGTTTAAACTAGAGTTCTGTGCCTTAGTTTCATTGTTTTTATTCTGGTGTTATATTTCTTTTTTTTTTTTTTACTTTGGTGTTATATTCCGTTAACTGTAGGATCATTGGGCGCCTATACACAAGCGGCAAGGCTGCAGACTCGAGGGAGCAGACTCGAGGGAGCAGACTCGATTGATCAAGTTTGCTAGAGTGTGGTAATTACTGTGCTCTAGCAGATTCCAGCATCTTGTGCATCTACATCCTTGTGCTTCAAAATAGTGATGTTCAACAAGGTTTAGTTAAAACATCCCCACTGCCATTTTTTAGCATGGGGATGCTGATACACATGATGCTTCAAAAGCTTTAATTAGAGCAACTCTTGGAACTGTACTAATTAAAGCAGCCCCCCCACCCTCTGCCTCTCTGAGCACGTATATAAAAGCCCATTGAGTCAAAGAAGAGAGAACAGTGAATGTTGATAAGGAACACTCCTGTGGAGAGAGACTTGTGTTATAGGACCTGTGTTTGACCCATTAAGACCCAGGACCATAGGACCAGCCAGTCATGTTTTGACAGCTAGGAAGGGAAGTAGATGGAAAGGTAGATATGCACTTTGCACCTTACAGCTAAGAAGGGAATTCAGTGATTCCTGTAAAGCAGTAGGCAGGGTGCCCAAGATTTGCATCTTCCCCAGAATATACACAGCCCTTCTCTATATGGTTTGAGAGAGACCTCTCAACAACATCACAGTGTGTGTTTGTTTAAAGCTAATAGAGTATTTTAAAGCATGAAGGAAGCTAAAACATCTGTATGTCTTGGGTATAATTCAGTTTCAAAGTACTTTATGGGGTCTACATATCCTATGTAGAGACCCAGGAAGGAAGACCCACCTGTCAAATTTTAAACATACTGGCACTCCAAGCAAGCAGTGCTCAACCTCCAGCCTGTGGGCTAAATGCAGCCCAGAGAGCCATTGTATTTGGCCTGTGGGGCTCTCCACAGGTCAGAAAATTTGGCAGAGGAGGAGGAATGGCCACCCTCCTCCCTGCCAAATTCCCAAACCCCAAGTCCTGCATGGTAGCCATGCCTCTTTACTCCCATGGGGCTGGCAACCCCTTCTGCTCTCCACAACTGGATCAGAAATGGGCCATGGCTGTTCCCCTCCACCCCCCTGCAGGGCCAGATTGGAGCCAGGCTACACCCACTTTCCTCCCCACACCTGGATCAGGGCTGAGCCACAACCCTTCCCCCTCCAGGGCTGGGGTGGGGCTAAGCCAAGTCCCATCTCCCCCCTGCCAGGCCTGGGTCAGGCCCCATTCCTGTCCCTTGTGGACCTACTTCAAGCCCCCTTTCCCCTACGGGGCTGGGTTGGAGCTGTGCTGCCATTTACCCCGTGTGCCTTTACTGCTATGAACTGGTGATTTTCAATTCTGGTTTGTGGATCCAAATTAAATTAATGCATAAGGTTAGGCTCTGTTTGCCAACATATTGTATCACTTAAATGATGTCACTGTAGTTAGGGAGCCTACAATAGTAACAAGCTGCTATTTATACAGTTATCTGAATGTGGTAACACAAGGATACTTGTTAAGAATTATAAAATAAAACCTTGTCAAATAACACGCGCCAATTCTACAACTAAACTGAGCGTAGACAACTTAGTCTGAAGGCAGAAATATGGCAGCTTTGTCTTCAAAGACATTAAGACATTTTGGAGCCAAGAATATTTTCAATTATTTAGTCCAAAGTAATGTTAACAGGTTAGTGAATAATTGCATGTAGTGTACATAAACAACACGCCAAATCCTTATTCCGTCTATTATTAGAGCTTCCATTGAAGGTGATGTGATTTTTGCCCCTCAGGTCTAAACAAGTTCAATTTTATCCTGCTATGAAGATGTAGACCAACTACATGAAACATGAAACATGTTAACAGGTGCTCTCCAGCACTTGAAGTATAAGCAAATGATCAAATTAAGGAAGTTAACAGGAGGCAGGAACATGCTGTGGAACAGTTGATGTGTGTGTGTGTGTGTGTGTGTGTGTGTGTATGTATGCATATGTCCACAATTGCTTTATGGTAAATGAAAGTTAAAGCAGGGCAACTTAACCTTGTTTTATTGAAAGGCAAGCTGTTCTGGTTTAGCTTTCACTTGTGGAGTGGTAATCATGGGCACATAAACATTTAGCGCGCTTTGTCTGGTCCATGTTAAGTCCTGACCTCCTGTTAACATGGAGTTTAAATGGATTGTTGTCCACATCATAATAGGAGGATCTGTTGTTTAAGATTTAAATGACCTTGCAGTAAAATGGACTAAAATCACCTCTTCTTTAGAGGCAGCCTATTCATATATATTTACTGTTTGTTCCTGCAGCCAGAGGTAGTATGGTTGGCAGCCACAAATGGTGCCACAAATGGTTTGCTTTGATAACAGCTACAGTATAACCCAATTATAACTACTGAGACTGGGAGAAAAAATTATGAAAATTATGTGTTTTCTATAGTAGGGTTAGTCACTTTTCTGTACTGTAATAATGGAAAAATTAGTTCCTGCTGTTGTGATTGCTAAAGGGGGGGGATAATAAACATTTATTATAATGAGACTGTACTGTATTTTAGTCAAGCTGCTTTTCCTTTTGTAATTATCTATGAAGTGGGGTTTGAAATATAAGTAAACACTTAGAAGTGTCTGCTGCAGTTATTCTCCAAGAAAACTTGTGTATACCTAAATTGCAACACCTAGGGGAGGGAGGCCCAATCTTCTAATGCAGTGGAAAGAGAATTTTGTGGCATATCTCAGTATATCCTCCGTTGGTTACAAAAGGAGAATGTGTAATGTGCCTGCTGTTAAATTCATTATCAGCTACAGAAATCCAGGAGTCATGACCTTTCTGCTTTCTCAGTGGAGCCATTGACTACTTTGTTATCTAGGTTATACCACGCTTCTTGTTTGCTTAGTGCAGGGATGTCCAATTTCTCAGTGTCTGAGGGCTCTACCAGCATGAGCCATATGTCTCTCCTCTGGTGCACCATGCCACACTGGCACCTTGGCTCCCATCCTCAGCTCGATGGTCACAGGTTCTTCCAACACCATGGGTTGTGCCTCATCATGCTGCCCTGCCCCCTGGGGTGAGGGCAGGAAACAGAAACTGGAGGAGGAAGGGGGAGCAATGGGAGAGTAGGAGCCAGGGGGCTGCGATTTACCCCTTGTAGGCTGCATGTGACCCACAGGCTGCTGATTTTGGACAGCCCTGGCCTAGTGTATCATCAAGAACATGAATCTTATCTTCATGTCATGAACAAAACACTTTTAGAAATATCAGAACCATGATAAAATCAAACCTGAATTCCACACCCAAATTATCTCTTTTTTTAGGGTGAAATAATGGTGACATTTAGGTGCCAAGGAAATAATAGATTTGTATTTTTAAACATGGGTTGATTTTTTTTTCAGCTTAAGTCATGGAGTGGCACGTGAGGTAAGCAAATTGGGAATGATGGTGCCTGCCAATTTCCTGCATGGCTGGCAATAAATAGTAAATAGAGCGGTGTCCCTCTGGACACACTGATTTTGAGCATAACAGTGATCTAAATGCTACTGCTTGCCCTCCTCGCTACTTTGTAGACAGTTGGGAACATTTCCCTTTTATGAGATATTAAGCAAAAGTAAGATCAAATTCCTCTCTGCTGACACACTACAGCTTCAATAGAGTTAAACCACGGATGAATTTTCCCCTTGTTTTTTGGATTGGTAATGTGTTGGGTCCAAAAATATGTTGGCTCCTTTATCATCCTTGTCTAGTAATGTATTATTTAAAGCATGATGTCATGATATGATGCAACCCAACATGGGAGGCTAAAAGGCAGACAAAAATTGCTATAACTGCAAAGTGCTGCTTCTCAGCTGAGACCCACATTTCTGCTCCTATTCAGAAGGAGTCAGCAAATCTGGGTTTTTTCTAGTATTTGGATAGCCACGCTAAAAGCAAGGACCCAGTAATACAGGATAGCAAAGCCACTGGTGGTTTGTTGAGTTGTAAGATTTTGCAAAAGACACCATCAGACGTATTGATTCATTTTCCTTGTCTTTGCCAAGACTGGAAGCCCAGAAGGAGCTTAACTGACCTGATTAGAAAAAGTAAAGAAGTAAAAAATATATGCAGGCAAGAATTAGAGTACTGCACCAGGTTCTGTTTTCAGTGATATCAGTGTAAATCTGAAGTAACTTGATTGATTTTACTGGAATTAATCGTGATTTAAACTCACGTTATTTCATGCAGTTCAAAATGACAGGTCTGCTTGATTGAGCTAAGTATAAATGAGGGACTTAGTTTGCTTTTGTCCTTACCAGGGACTTTATATTTATATCATTTTAATTTCAAAGCTAAAGCAAAAAAGTATTATTTTTTGCTAGAAGATGCATTATTTAATTTTCTAATCATATATCCTCTGAATAGTACCATCTGGGTAACTTTCAACACAATTTTGTTGTGCTTGCTTTTAGCTTTCTCTTTTTATACCAGTTTTAGCATTTATACTAATTCCCTTAAAAATCAGACAGGCAGGGAAACCAAGAATGTTTTTGTCGGGGAGCTATCAAATGAATGTAGGTACTATGAGAGCATAGAATATGGGCCCCTCCAGATGTTACATTTATCACGTGATTAATATATTAATTGTGCAATAAATTGTAATGCGTAATAAATTGTAGCATGGAGTTCAACCAAGTTATGGTGCAACAAAATGGCAAGCCAGCTGCAAAGATGTTCCACGTAAAATGTAGCATGTGTCCCGGCCCCAAGGCTGCTTTCTGCCTAATCCCGACAAAATCCTATTCTTTGTTGGGATCAGGCAGAGGACAGCCCTGAGGTCTGAGACAGCCACATGGCTGGGTTGCACTGGTGTACTGAAGACTTAAAAGGGTACCATGGACTTTAAATGGTGCACATAGCTGGGGTCTGGGGACCCCAGCTCCCTCATCCCCAGTGAATAGCCCAGCAGTTGCACACTTGGTATCTGAGGAAGTTTATGCCCCATCCCAAAAATCATGCATCCTGCAATGCCAGAGGATATGCAGTTTTGGGGATGGGGCATAAAATTCCTCAGATGCAAATCACACCAGTATATTTACATCTGCTAGGGGCCTATCTTTCCTTTTTGAGATGGTAAATGAGAAACATGACATGTGAATGAGAAACATGATAAAAATGAAGATGTAGGATCTCTCCTTACTGTCCTCTTCAGTTAAATGTGGCATATGAAGCACAGATGTATTACCAAAGAACCAGGAACACTTGTGAATGCTATTGTATTTTTCTCAGATGGGCTACCTAGCAGTGTATGACAGCCAGTAACTATGTGACTTCATCATGCCTTATGCCCCAGAAACTGTCTTCATTCTGCACACCATTCACATACAAAATCCTACTAATGGAATAAAAATAACCAATGCTAAATCAGTACAGCCAACATTAGCAAACAAAAAGTACCTTTTATTTCTGTGCTATGCTCACCAGAATCAATGGCAGATAGCACTTTTTGTTTTTACTTCTATGTAAAAGAGCTTGTGAAGCATTGGATCAGAATGTTGCGGGAGATCTCCCCAGGACAATTGTGGGTCTGAGAGGGAAGGTGTCCACAGCTGAACCCCACTTAACTTAAAAATACTTGTTTTTCATAAATATAAATGTTAATGAATTTCTCAATTCCTTTCTCTTCTTACAAATACTTAGTGGAAAGGGAATCAGGAATACCACTTCATCCACCACGAGAAAGGACCCCCCTGCAGCTATATCCAGAGGTGCCACCATATCCCCCACAACCAAGGACACCACTACAGCCACAACCTGGAATACCTCTGCAGCCACAGCCAGGAATACCACCACAGCCAGGAATACCCCTACAGCCCTCACAGCCAAGAATAGTAATACAACCACCACGACAAAGAACACCTCTTCAGCCATCCCAGCCAAGAATTCCTCTGCAGCCATCATTACCAGGCTCAGGCATTTTACCACTTTTGCCTGGATCAACAGGAATCATAATGGAGACTGGAGAGGCTGGTCCTCCTGGCACAGTTTTAATGTCAGGAAGGGGATGGTCTAAAAGTGTAGATGGCCAGGTTGGTCAGAATATCATGCCCGTTGCGGAAGGATATGCTGGAGCCCCAGGTGAGAAAGCTAAAGTTTTGTCTGAGCCATTTGCCCTGAAACACAATTCATCTTGCTGTGTAATATGTAGGTTCTTCCTCAAAAACAAGCACATGCTTTACTGTCAGAATCAAGAGGCTGGTGTGAAAGTCCACACACAAGCCCAGATCTGAAATGGTATTTAGAAGCCTGAGCTTCCATTGGAGTCAGTGGGAGCTAAAGTGCTACTACTCTGGCATAGGTGTAGGAGGTATGTCAGGGTTCATTAAGCATATAAAATGCTGAAAATAGAGTTGGATGCCCTCTGCAGTCTTCGGAGGGCGTGGAATGATTCTTAGCTGGCATCAGTTCCACATATTCTTTGGGGAAACGTATGGCTGATCTGATTTGCAAGATGTCCATTTCCTGCCATAAAAACAGGAAAGACCTAAAATAGGGTTTAGAGTTAGCGTTGCCTCCTTTCCCAAAGTGCCACCAAGTATGATTTCAGTAGAACTCATGCATGATTCAGAGATGCACAACTATCTACCATTGAAGTAGCTTAAAATTACTATTTTTTCACAGTACATTTTGATGAAAAATTTAGTCCCCTTTCCCTTTGCTATTTAAGTCAGTGGTATATGTTAAATATTGCTTGTTTGTTATTACATACAGTTACTGCTGTTGTTATTGACATTGCTACTGTTTGATGAGCAAGGGAAAACATTAGGAGACAGTGGTAATATTTAGACGACATCATATGCTGTTAACATGTTTTTCTTTTGCTTTGTAGGCTATCCAAAGGCATCTTCCCCTTCCTCAGCCTCACAAGGTAATCCAGTTGTTACCTAGGAATTCTTTGAACAATTATTCACTTACCTTATCAATAAAAAAATTTAACAGAATAAAATTGAATAGCAAGAACTTTTAGGGCATAGACACAGTTCTGACCTGTTAATGCTGGAAAGATGCACCCAGACTGGGGATGATAGCCTTTTTTATTCAAACTGACACTTGCATCCTCATTCAGGGGGGACTCAGAGCATGTACAATACTAGCAGTAGAACGTATTTAATAATTACTGCATTTTAATTCTTGCATGCTTTCTGGTTTTTACATCCTTGAAGTTTGTTTCAACCTTTTCACTGCAGCCTTCAGAGATAACTTGATTGTTTGCTTTTCAAATTCAAACTGAAATTCGCACATAATCATATGATTCTAGAAACCTCACCTCCCTCCAGGATGTGTCAAAAGAGTTAAAAAGAATTGGTAATGCTATTGTTGGCTTAGATATCATGTTTTAAACATGCACATTTCCTTATCAGTGTCACTAACAACACTTAAAATGATTAAAACTGAGACAATCAAGCAATAAAATTTACTTTTAGTTGTTTATGCACTTTTTAACCTTACTTTATTTCTCACAAATAAATTAAACCAGTTTAATTTTTGCTTATAGAGACTTTCACATGCAGATCTCACTACTGAGTGTTTGAGTTGCAAATACTGTGTAGGCAAGTAGGCATGTTTAGGCATATTTATTTGTTTAAAGATAATTATTTATATATTTTTTTCTTTAGTAAAATGTCAGGGAAGTATTTTTTCTAGCCTTAGTTTTAGTAAAAGCTTGTTTATATAGATTCTAAATTTGAGTTGACTTTATTTTTTAACAAACCAGAGGCTGTGATGATTCCACTTCATACAGGCAGTTTATAAATGCCTATGGCTCTGAACAAGCATTTGTGGAACCTGGCTCAGATTTAGGCAGCTAAGTTTAAGCTGCCTAACCAGAAAGGGGCTGCCTGGTCCAGGGCGTGCTGGTCAGGGGTTTAAAATTAGCCCAGGCAGGGCTGAGGGGGAGGGGTAAAAACAGCACAGCCCCAGGTCTGTGGAGAGTGGCTGAGCTTTCCCAGCCCTGGAGCTATCCTATGAATGCATGCAGGTGTTCACTAGGCCGGGTTAACTCTTGCTAGGTCAGGCTAACCTTTTGCCAATCTAAAGTTAGCTCACTTTAGACAAGGACTAACTTTAGATCAGGTGCACCATTTTTAGGGCAACATACCATTTACTTGAATGTAAGATGACTCTTGTCATAAGACAACTCCCCAATAATTAGATTGTATATATGAAAAATGTATAAATTTGTTATAATTTTCCAGGTATTGAATCTAATTAGCAGAGGGCTGCCTTGAATTCGTCCCCCTCCCACTACTACACCAGGGAAAATATTGGCAAGTGGAGTGGGGAATCAGATGGCCCTCTTGCCCTCTGTCTCCCCCTCCCCACTTCTTTCCCTGCAGCCTTCCTGCCGCCCCCTTACTGTCAGACCCTGCTCAGTAGGGCTGTGCGAAACGGTACCGTTCCATTTTGATTTGCATTTCGACAGAACAGTGTTTTATTTTCGAATTTCATTTTGATTCAAAACTACTGTTTTGTTATGGCTGTTTCAACACTGTTTCAATGTTTTGCCCATAGGCTATAATGGGAAAGCTCAAAAAGCCTATAACTTTGTCATTTCGGGCCTGATTTGGATGAAACTTACAGGAATAGTAGCCACTTCTGAGGGCATAAAGCCTACCCAGTTTCAAGGAACTAGGTGCAGGGGTTTCAGGGAAACTGCACCTCAAAGTCTTGAAAGCAAAACTCATGTTATGTATATGTGTTAAGCCACAGTGGGGTCAAAACTGTAGGGGTGGTGGCCCCTGCTGAGGCCACAAGCCTGCCAAGTTTCAAGGAGATAATTGCAGGGGTTTTGGGGAAACTGTACCTCAAGCTGTGGACAAGCAAAACTCATGGCATGAGTGACACGGTGTGCGCTAAGGCACAGCAGGGTGAAAGCTGCAGGCCTGCTAGTCCCTGCTGAGGCCACAAAGCCTGCCAGGTGTCAAGGAGATAGGTGCAGGGGGAGTCTGGGTTCTGGGGCCCTGCACCTCTGGCTGCTGACAGGCAAAACTGGAACACACAGCTCAGTAACTGACACCAAGGCAGAAAGCAGGGCAGTTCAAACAATGCTGCCTTTTATGCCGTTTTTCCATCCCTCCCCCAGAGCACTAGGGTTGGAAGGGACCTCAGGGAAGGATGACAGTCACTGGCCAGCTACACAGTCAATAATGAGAGCACCCCTTCCCCCCCTTCCTCCCTTTTCCTCCTCCCTCTCCTTACTTTAATTTCTGTTTCCCTGCAGGAAAGCCCAGCTTGAGCTTTGAAATTCAAAATGTTTTGAAAATTTTGAAACGTTTCAATTTGTCTCATTTTGTTTCGAGGCTGTTTCAAAGCTCTCTGCTTCATTTTGATTTCACTGTTTCGAGCTTGAAACGAGCTCAAAACAGCGTCGAAATGAAACTGCCGGTGAAATTTTGCACAGCCCTAGTGGTCCGGGTCTGTTCCCTCTCCAAGCACAGCGTGGAAGTGAGCTGCACGTGACAGTTACGGTGGGGAAGAGATGGGAGGGAGGGTAGAAGGTACAGAGGGCAAGCAGAGGGGGGCAGGAGGCTGCTATGTGTCTGACTGACCCCAAACCACAGCAGTTACCTGCCCCTTCTTCCCCCGCTGTTAACTTGAAATGCAAAGGACCAAAAAACCTGACTTTCAAACAAACATATCCATAGTAATTTTCAGATATGGCAAGCAGAGGCTGGGCAGGAGACTGCTGATATGCAAATATAAGTGTCAATTTTACTAAAAAAGGCTGTCATCCCTGGTCTGGGTGTATCTTCATCTTATATTCTTATCTTCTTATATTTGAATAAATATGGCAAGTCCTGTGAATGCTTGCACACAGGAGCATTTAGATGACCTTTAACTAAGTGTAATGTTTTTGAACATCCTAAATGATTATTGTTGGATTTGGGGTTATTTTGGGGTTAATCAACTTAAAAGGAGAAATTGTAATCCTGTCTTGTTTGTGTTATGCCCATTAGTACAGTATACCCTCCACCTGTACAGCACCATGGCTGAAAGCTGGGTCACCTTCCCTCTCCAAAGTCTGGATTACTTGGCTTTAGTCTGTTTGGCTCCAAAGTCTGGTTGGTTACTTAGTTTTATCAGTTGTTGCCTGCATCTATTTGCAGATGTTTCTCCCACTCTTCCAAAACGGGTCTGAAAAACTGGAGATTTAAATATTTCCTTTATTTATTGGAAAGCGAAAATATCAAGGTGATTAAGATTTGGAATCTTACCACTGAGTGGAGCCAGGATTTTACCAATGTCAACATGTAGTTTACCAACTTAGAGTATTTTAATTATTATTAATGTACTTACTGCACAACTTTATACCAGCATGTTTGAATTACAAAATAGTAAGCTTTCAACAAGAATTGTGGGGTGCACTAGTTAGTTCAAATATGGGTTTGCTGGGTCAGATATCTACTCTGCAATCTCTTATTCAGACTGTTTAGCGTAGCTGCTTTCTAGAGCTAGACAATGCATATTGTTGCCCAGGATCAAAGTGAATCCTCCTACGCTCTATTCAGAGAGAATGATTTAATCACAGTTTTGTTTTAGGAAACATCAACAAAAGTTAAAAATGAAACATTAGAATTTTTTGGCATCTGAAAATGTTTCCTTAGAACTTTGTTCAATGGGGCTGTAAAAAATTACAGAGGCAGGTCTTGACAAATTGGCCTGGGAATTGACAAAAGATAATTGATCTTTTGATAAAAGATCTCATGTTATAATCCTGAGGTTAAAATGTTCCAATTAAGAACATGATGTAGCTTTAGATAAGGCTTTGTATTTGAGAAGTGTTAGGGTAGCAGTGGGTTACTAGCAAAATAAAGTTTTATTTTGGCAGCCATTGTCTGCAAATATAGCTTCAGGGAGTATACAGAAGGAAATGGATATTACCTTAAGTAGATCTAACTTGCTGATAGAGAGGAAGTCTTAGTAAAAGGATTTCCATTTCTAAATCTGTGCACCTTCTTCCTAGCTTTCCCTGACTAAAATTAGTACTGCTGAAGATAATTGCATAACAGTTATGCCCGCTATGAAACAGCCTTTATCTCCAAATGCCTCCCAATCCCTGATGTCAGATGCAGGCCCAGAATACAGTGATGCCTATGGTATAAACTCCTAGGGACAGACTGTCAGTTGACGGTATCAAAGCTGTTACAGTCTACATAGGCTATGGGTCTGAAGTTGTCACTATTTCATTGTATTCATACAAGTATCACTGAAGGGGAGCTGCCTCTGGGCAGGAGTCAGCAGTTAGTGCTGGAAAAGAGGACATCTTGGTGAAGGCACTGTAACAATCCCTTACTCCTAAGGGTGTGAGGGAATCTTTAAAATGTGTGGAACAGGACTTCAATTTTTAATTCTTCACCCAAAAGATCCACACCCAGTAAATTTCATGGCACCAGATTTTTAGCTCAGAAAGATGCAGTACTAAGCCAGTCTTGCCTGTCTTGCAACATATGCTCCCCACATTAGAAGTTTTGAAAGCCTGGGACTTAGTTTAGTAAACTGTCTCATGCAGCACTATTTTAACTTCTGCTTCTGTGTGCTTTCTACTGTTCTACATATGTTTTTAAGTACTGAGATGAGGGCTTTTCTTTAGATATCTCAGATAATGTGGAATTGTTTCTGCACTCCTCAGATTCATCAGAATATCCACTGGCATGCATCATATTCATGCTCAAGTTCAGTTTTCCTCTACAATTAGAAATCAAGATCCACTAAAAGAATACTTTTTGCCAAAGCTTCTAAGTGCTTCAGAAATATTAATGAATTAAACCTCACCATTTGCTTTGGAGGTAGGGCAGGAGACATTAGCTGTACTGCAGTTAGGCATTTGGGCCAAAGAAAGGTTAAATGTCAGGATTAATGTGGATCTTC